ATTTTTACCTACAATGCATCCATTAGCGCTTGTGCAAAGGTGGGGCAATGGCGCTTGGTTTCAGCCATTTGGGAGTCGATGTTTGTCCACAGTGTGAGCCCTGACGTGATCAGCTTTACTTCATCGATCACCGCCTGTGAGAGGGCTGCGCAATGGCAGCGAGCATTGGTGATCCTGACGGACATGCCGAAGAAGCAGATTTTGCCCAATGTCATCAGCTTCTTGGCCTGAAGATGGTTTCGTACAAAGCAATAGGTTCAAGCATAGCTTGAATCGATTGAGCTATCAAGCTTCTATCCGTTTGGTCAGAGAATAGAGCGTAGTTGCGTAGCAATGCACAAGCATAATGTGGTCTGGTCAAATTTCTAACAACCTCATACCGAGGAAAACCAAACAGATCCTCGTGTGCCCAAGAGGTTGATTCTGTCGGTTTTGAGCATTGCATGCATTGCTTGCTTGTCTATAGATCAGCAAGCTTTTTGAGAAATGGAGGAGACACTCTGAAGAGATCAGAATACCTCTCCACGCCTGGACATATAACCTTTGGTGTCCGAGGGACGGCACGGTGCCCTGGGCACCCATTCCCTCTCAAGCTGGCTTGGTTCTCTTGTTCCTAGTAGCTTCTTGCTCCTAGTAGTAAGGCCAGGAGCTACTTATTAGCGTCCTTGCTCCTAATAGCGATGCCCTTTGTTCCTAGTAGCAACGGGTGCCATGACCTTTTCCGCATTCTTCCAAATTCCTGGTACAGCTGGTTGAATCACAACAATTGCTCGAAAGGCACCCCTCTCAGTTTGAAGGTACACACCTCCCAATCCTTCCCAGATCCTTCATCCAGTTGAGAATAGAAAGTTTGGAGTTTTCTTCCCATTCAGTTCAACAGATTACTTCCAATGGTTTGTCGCTTGTTGTGTGGTTCCCCATACCCACGAATTGGCCATATCAATCTTCCAACAGACTAAGCTGTTGCGTAAACTGGCGAACGATGGTGGATGCGACAACGGTTCCAACAGCGGAATGCAGAGTTTCAATCTCTGGGGCTGGGAGTGGTGCACAGCTTTTTACTCTTTGCCAGCTGGTCAAGTATGATACAGTATGACCGAAGAATGAGGATGCTACTAGTAGCAAAGGGCATCAAGTCAAGAACCGGGGTCTGTATATATTTGCATGATATGAGCGAAGAACCGGGGTCTGCGCATACAGACGAAGGAACAAGGATATGGGAAACTCCCGTTGTCATTGTGATCGCGGTCCCATATCACCTTTGACATGTAGACACATAGCACACCTTTATCTCTCCTACTTCAGGATGGAGGCCATTGCTAGTAGGTTGGAGGCCGACCTGCTTGAACAAAGGTTGGGAACGGATCCCTCAAAATGAACAGAATATACTACCGAGGATGTAAAACCATCTTATGGTTGACCGGGGTATTTGGTTGTTTGGTACTGAACCTCAGCAACGCACGTTTTGAAAGATCGCTCCTTTATATATATATATATATTAGATATAGCCAGGCTTCAATGCTGCGATCACCGCATGTGAGCGTGGCAATCAGAGTCCGATTGCTTTGAAGCTCTTTGAGAAGATGCCCGAGATGAAGATCACTCCCGATGTCATCAGTTCCTTGGCAGTTGAGCGAACGCTACTAGGAGCAAAGGGCATCGCTACTAGGAACAAGGACGCTACTAGGGGCTCCTGGCTTACTAGTAGTAACAAGAAGCTACTAGTAGCAAAGGGCATCGCTGGATGCGAGGGAGTATGGCAGAGATTCTGGTCGCCTGACAAAAGCATTTTGGTCAAATAATCCTGGAATCCCGGGTGCTCGAATCCCGTTTTCCTCGTTGGCTGCATGGCCCGTCTTTCCCTATGTTCTTTTTTGGATCTTTGTTTTAGGAGATGGTGCTGAGTTTTGGGACAATTAGTCGTAGATGACAAGCATTGCAGATTGACATGTTTTTGGCCCCGCGGGCCGCCCCATGGGCCGCTCCGCGGGCTTGGAATCAGGCTACAATGCGACCATCAGCTCATGTGGCAAAGGCTTGCAGTGGCAACAGGCCTTGATGCTCTTTCTGGAGATGGGAGCAAAGTCTTTACGTGCTGATCAGTTTGGATACAATGCAGCATCTTGGACGAAAGAGCACGAAAGGCTGTGATGCACGGGGCTTGAAAGGTGGATGGCTCAAACAAAGTCGCGTCTTTTCTCTTTGCGACTCGATGGATTTCGTTCATGAAGCGACTCCCAAGGTTCGTTGTGACATCGACAAAATCACCATAATTGGGTACGAGAAGCATGGAGGAACCTCATGTGGGCGGGCTCACCTCTAATCAGTCTAATTGCACATGTAAAGGATCTTAACGATCTCAAGTCCTTGCAGCGTTCTTTGCTTCAACGTCTTCAACCAGCGGACGTTGATCTCAGATATCCACAGATTTCAGATCCTCAGAATTCCTCAGATATCCACGGAACCCAAAGGACCATGAAGGACCCGGCAGAGGAAAACCATTGTGGAGCTAATGTGCTACTAGTAGCGTCCTTGTTACTAGTAGTATGGCCAGGAGCCCCTAGTAGCATCCTTGCTCCTGGTAGCGATGCAGCTTGCTACTGGTAGATAATTTGCTACTCACTTCGTCGAGGTTTTCTTCGTTTGTCGCGTCTTTTTGAGGTCTTCGCCTCAGTCACAGCACCCGAGCTTCGGGAGAGCTTCAAAGCCGCGCAACGGGACGCGCAGGAAAAGGAACGGGGGAACATTTCGGTTGTGTTGTGCCAATTGTGTCGTGGTGTGGTTGAAGTTGAAGAAACATGGAGCTACTAGGAGCAAGTGCATCGCTTCTAGTAACAAGTGCCTTACTAGTAGTAACAAGAAGCTACTAGGAACAATTGATCATCCTCGAAGTTCTGCATGAACAGATTGTGTTTCGTGCTGCTTGAGATGCATAGCTAACTATGGTCAAAGCAATTGAGGAGGGCCATATCCGCAGGACAAACACATGAACAAACAATGCCAATGTGAGAGCTTCCAAAAAGGTAAGGATGAGAATGTATCAGTATGAATGTCTTCTGGACATTGAAGTGAGGGAAATTAGAGAAGAGCACAACTGAGGCCCTAGCTTTACGCAAGAACCTCGACAAATCGGATTTCGATCTGCGAAGGGCCCATTGTGGCCCCGTACTCTGTTCCTTTCAGACCTTTTGCGGGGGGAAGCCTGGCACTTGGTTACAGAAATCTTTCTTTTCGGTCGAAGTGGACTTCGTCATGCCACGGGCCTGACAATCTGGTGATTTGAGCCATCAAACCCAAACCGCTTAACATGTCGCAGAGATTTTGGGAGTGATCCTCCAGGGCCACGACCTCTTGATTGCAAGGAGCATGGCCTTTCCCAGGGTCGTCAAAAAGCAATTGTGATCAAACATCCCATTTTTCAAGCACTAGGAACAAGGACGCTACTAGACGCTACTAGGGGCTCCTGGCATCGCTACTGGGAACAAGGACGTATCGGAATCCAACAGATTGGGCACTTCAGCGCCATTTTGACATGCTTTGTCGTCAGTACATCGAATCAGTGATCAGAAGTGTATCTCACATATATGTTCGCTTGAAGCTGCTTACGCATCCACACGTTTCCCTTTTGGGCAAGGGCAGATGAACTGTTTGACGATCTGTTCCCTTTGTCTCCGACCTCTAGGTTGCGGTGCTGTACGACATCTGCGTAGAAGTCTTTACACCCAACCCAGTGGTTGAGGACGGGTAAAATTGCTCCAACATGTTGCTGAGGGTTAGAATAAACCTGATTTGCAAAGTTCCCTTTTCTTGATGTTCTTGAGTTGCGAATTCACTAAGATGAACGACAAAACATATGAACCGTCTTCCCAGTTTGAGCGATGTTGCTTCCATCAAATGAATATGTGAGATGTGACTTAAATAAGTCTCATTTTGCATTCACAACTAACCTCCAGTGCATTGGCCCGAGAGAGTTTCAAACCGTTTCTGCGACACTTGTTATATAAATTTCACTATGAACCACATGAATAGAAGCGTAAGCTATCCTGGGTATAGTAGCGTCCTACTTAATAGCTACTATAGCTACCTCTTCCAGCGTCCTACCTGCTGGCTTTAAGAAAAGGACACAAAGACCTTTGATGCCAGGACACTGCATACATCTTCCACCGAATTGATTCGAAGATCCTCAGGCATCGGGTCGTGCTGTGCCATGTTTCTACCGGACTTTCAGTCGTTCGGCTCCTAGTCTAATCAGTCTAGTTTCGACGGAATTTGGGTTTCTTGTTTCTGGAACCTGCAACCAGTGTGATCAGGTGGGATTATTGGGCATTCCAGCCTCAGGTCTGAAGCCCCAGAACACGATCCAATTCGATCCGTGGATGTTTCGGTTTGGGCGGAAAAATCACTGAACTCATCCAGGATGCCGAGGGGTTGAGCCTTTGTCATGTGATCATGTGCCTCAAGAAAAGAAGACCCAAGAACAGCATGTTGGAATCAGTCATGAGGTTTCCGGGTTTTGAGCCATTACCATACACGAGTTAGGAAAAGGAGGGGACGGATTGGTATGGCGGCCACTTTCTCTGGCTAATTTGCAGCAAGCCGAGGTGAAGGCTGCGAACAAGCATGACCCGGTCCCAGGGAACAAAGCTGTGACCAAATCAACTAGTACATGTCTGTAGAAAAGTAGAAGTCTAAGAGTTAAAGCTAAGTTATATAAGCTTTTCCAAATCTATAGTGCGAGGGCTTCCTTGAGGAAGCCTGAGCCTTCTTGCGTCCGAGTCCGCTACTTAAGCTGAGTAGCGACCTTACGGCGTACCCCTCGCCCCTGGGTTTTTAAAGAAAAAGACCTTGACAGCCTTGAGCCTCTCCCATCAGCGATGAGGTTCTTGATATTGGTCCAGATGTACAAATTTGAGAGGTGCGGACGTGTTTGAAATCATCCATTTCACAGGAATAACCGCAGACAGGAAATGGCCAAGACAAGCACGAACGAATCCGCTGGAATGTTTGGGGGGGTTGCAAGGGACGGAGTGAAGCTCGGTATCACGTCATTGCGTGACCCATATGGACCAGAACGGACCCTAAGCGTTAGACTTTTGTCCCTTCGTCATTCGTCAGTTCTCATAGCTGGGGAGTACGTAGGGATTGATTTTGAAGGACGAAGATCCATCTGAAACCGCTACCATAGGCTGTCTTGTTTCACATGCACACAACGCCCATCCACATTTTATGGTGTTGTGTTGGTGTTGTGAACTGCTGGAGAGTCCTGAAGGTGGTGACGATTTGGACGGAAGAGACATGTTTATTTGGGTCAATACAGGTATGCCGAGGTGCGGAATACCACTATCACAGAGATTTTGTCGATATTTCGGTAGCTAGGGTCTTCAGGTTGAGATCTGGAATTGAACATAGGCAAGAGCGATGTGGCTATCTATAGGCTGACAGGGTCCCCATACCTTGTACGTTTTCCATTCCCACAGATCCAGTACATGTAGATGAGATGATTTTCTGGTTAATGGGGTATACACTTAGAATCCAAGAAGAGTGGCAAGACCTAAGCCACTGCAGGCAACTGCTTTGAGGGGCAAGGGACCTATTTATCAGTTTCATCCAATCCCGATCCCGACCAGAGTTGACCGTGAGAGTCCAGCACTAAAGAGCCTGGTCGGAGGTTGCTGCAAACCTGTGAGTGTGAGCCGTAGTTGGCTGCATGACGCAGGGCTTCCGCTGAATATTGCAGTGAACACACTGTGAGCGATGGATGGCGACGGCTATGCTATTGATAGTAAATAGTAGAAGGTACATCCAAAGTCTTAATTCTTTCCATTTTGGTGCAGTGTTGTGGGCATCCTTCCTGACTGCCCCCATAGTAGTGACTTAAACGGAACAGAGGGACCGGGCTCAAGAACTGGGGGTGCAGGCCACATGACCAGCTTTGTGTGATCACTAGCATAGTGGAAAGTTTAGAGAGCCTAGGCATGTTTCAACCTACAATATTTTGTTGGAAAAGACAAGGTACGTAATCTGGTGCTAGCCAGAGATGGTGTTGTCTTGGATTTGGCAAGCCAAACGAGAAGCCATGCCCCCTGCATGTGCAGATGCATTTGGCTAGATGTGTTGCGACTGAAATCAGTGTGAATGCAAAAAGGCCAAAGTACGGCAAAGTCTTTCAACCGATCAGAGTGCAATCAGGTTTCTTCAATGCTCAATACACCGGTTTCTCTGTCAGACCAGGAAGGGAGAAGAGTGAAAGACCACCCACCTGGCTGGAATGGCACCCTGCGGTTGCAGAAAGCCTCTCAAGAGTTGCGAATCTGTGTTCTCCGGAACAGGCCCCACCTTCGCATCTCAAGCTGTTCCATCTCAAGCAATTCAGATCCCAAGCAGTTAAGATCTCAGCCATGAGGAAACTCTTCATGGGTTCAGAATAGTGAAGAGTTCCTCATGACTCATGACCAGTAAAACTCGCCTTATCAGCTTTGGAATAGAACATTTGGAGCTGAAAGACACCCCCCAAGAAACAACATTTTAATCTATGTCTATATAAGTGATCTAAGTTCCTTCGCAGCGTGGCCCCAAACGTGGCAATGGGTGAATGACGCCCAGTGGCTATTTGGGCCGATGTCGAGGTGGGACACATGGCGGGCCGCTTCTGCCCCGGTGGCTTCGAAGTCTTGGGACATCGGCTTCACCCGTCGGTGTACTCTTTGAACTTTGGTTTAGACATTGGACAGATGTTCCTTTTCTGTCAAAGCAGTTGGGTGAATTGGCAAGGAGATGATGTAACAATATATGCAACAAACAAATGTGACAGTGTTCTTGACTGGGAGTTTGTCCCTGGTGGGAAGCCATTCATGATTCGTGACCAGCATAGGACTACACGGCTTTGAGACGGCTCTTTTTCCTTTCAACTCTGTTGTTAAGACAGAGACATGTGACCAGGCGTGGAGGTCTTCGAAAAGCTCAATCGTTTGGGCGAAGGCACGCAAACCAAAGGACAGATGGCCTGGCACAAGAGGGCCTCTACCAGTTTAGATGATCGTGTTTTCCTGACCGCCAACATCGAAAAGCCGTGTTTCAGGCACGTATGGTACAGTCTATCGTGCCAGAGACACGGAGACGGGTGACATCGTGGCTTTGAAGAAGGCGCCGCTGTTGGCACAGCCGAGCTGAAACAGTCGTCGGTCTGTGGCATTCATTATGCCACGTATACCCTGTAAAGCTACCCCCCCAAAAATGTATTTTGAGGATCTTGAGAACCTTGGGTGAAACGCAGGTGAACCACAACAACAAAACTATAAACTGATGTACCGATATGAATGATGAATGAAGTCCATATGGGTGTGAGGCGCTTGGATCCAAATGGCCATAGTTGGTCCAAATGTCCTGTTCTGGTAGAGTTCCCTTGGCCTCACATGTGAGCCAGATGGCAACGTGTTGTTGGTGAAGTAGATGGCACACTGTGAAATGTGGCATCCAACAGAATCTGGCCATAGCTCTCAGGTTGGAGGCCATCGCTATTAGGTTGGAGGCCATCGCTTCTAGGTTGGAGGTCATCGCTACTAGGTTGGAGGCCATCGCTCTTGGGTTTGAGGCCAGGCTACTAGGTTGGAGGCCATTGCTATTATTAGGTTGAAGGCCATCGCTCTTGGGTTGGAGGCCATCGCTGGTAGGTTGGAGGCCATCGCTATTAGGTTGGAGGCCATCGCTACTAGGTTGGAGGCCATCGCTTCTAGGTTGGAGGTCATCGCTACTAGGTTGGAGGCCATCGCTTCTAGGTTGGAGGTCATCGCTAGTAGGTTCTTGTTACTAGTAGCTCCCACATTTGGTTGGGTGTGTATCCAAATCTCCATTCGCTGGTGACAACGTGAGGATACCGATTTGATGGAACAGGCATGAGAAGCAACCACGCATCTTCACTCATCTATTTTTTCTACGTTTTTTTTCCTTGTCATTCTGGAGGATTCTTGCAACAGCGACACTTTTCTTGGCTGGATCCAGGTGCGAATCCATGCGGAGAAGGAAGGATTTCCTCGCATCTCGCTGAGGGAGATCCGACTGCTGAAGCGCTTAAGGCACCAGTGCTGTTGGATGATCGAAAAGGATACAAATTGTTTTCCAACATATGTTCTTGTTGTATCTTTTTGTGGGTGGCTAGACATGATAGAGTTGGTACACCAAGAAGCTCCTTTGGCATAAAAGACGGACTGTTGCAAACACATTTGTTAGACTGGTTGGGACTGTGGATGCCAAGTCTGAGCCAGTCAGTGCCCACGTGTGTTGCAAGCTGCAGCACCGCGGTATTGGGCGATGCGAATCGGTCATGCAACAGCTCGAAGTCGCTTGCAAGACGGACCAAAAAACATGCACCTGCTTTGTTGGGCTACGTCCGCTCTCGTATTGACGGATGTTTGGACGCTTCGAAAAATTAGGGTTCGATGGCCTTTTAGTGCTTGTACCCCAAAACAGACTGCCAGGCATCCCAACATTGTAGAGCTCCAGGAAGTGGCTTGCGGCAGGTGCAGGGACAAGACGCTTCGTCTCATGTATGAAAAATGGGTGTCCCAGAGAGGTATCTGAGGCTTGGAGTCTCAAAGGTGAAGGAAGGGACGGTCCATACAGGAGGTTTTGAAACGTTTTAATATGTTTTACTTAGATATGTCGGACAGTCGACCAGTGATTCACTGTGATCCTGTAGTGTTCAGCATATCAAAGTATATAGTGCCTATCGTCAACCTGTCAAATTGAAATGGCGCACCTGCGCACCGAGATTCTACGGATGTCTACGGTCTATTACACAGCCACATACAGCCACTGTTTGGTTTACGTGTCTCACACTCCAGCATGCCAGGCAGCCAGGCAGTGTCTTCTTGGTGTTTGAATACTGCGAGCACGATGTTGGTGCATTGTTTCTTGGAAAGCAACACGAAAGAGCTATGGTGTCTTGTTTCTTGGTGTCGGAGAAAGAGCTACGTCCCAAGTGGCTTTTCTTACTCAGAATGTCAATGCATGACAGGGTTTCCCCAAGCAGAAAGCTGAGATGGCTTCTGCTGGTCTAATGGCCCCTATCATACCTAAGTTACCTAACCAACAAATAACACGTAAAAGAGTTAAGGTTCCCTAACATTTTAGGAACCACATGAATAGTGCAAGGATCAGTTATCCTGCGTCCAGTTGCTAGCAAGGTTTCAGTAGCATAGCCCTTACTTAATCAAGTAGCCCTTTGCTTCGTTAAGTAAGAGCGGGCTTAAATATATAGCAATATATATATATATGCCTTTCTTGTTTCGCCTTTGGCACATTGGAGTGTTTCTTGCGATTTCATGATTTAAAGAAGTTGGTGACACAGGCAATGTGGCTCTGTTTCCCGCTTGTCCGCTTGGTACCGCTTAGCACGCGGAGGGAAAAGGGTCTGCAACTTGTGGTCTCAACACCTGAACTGGGGAGCCAACTGCGTTGGTACTGGGGAAATACGAGGGCTCATACGCCATTTCATGCTATATTTCTGCCTTTTGGTTTGAGTCTTCACTGCAGGATTCTGTAGAGCCTTTTGACATTCTATTTGTTGGAAACCATAGATGGTTATGCTGTTGTTCCAGTGAGCTCTGTTCAGACAGGACTTGTTCTCTCCCATTCCCAATCCTGCAGAATGGTCATGTGAGAGGATCCGAGTGTTAGTCCAATATGATAAGCAATGGGTACAGTATCATGCACTTTGTGTTTGCGACCATGTGCGAAGCCCTCTATTTTTGGAGCGACGCGAAACGGAAGATGCCTTATATTCTATAGGTTTTCCTCCCACCCGGCAGCAGTCAATAGGTCGATGAAAAAGGGTTTGGGTTTGGGTGATCTCAAGAGATACCACGACAATCCACGACACATGATCCGGCCTCATAATTTGCGCACCTGCAAGCCTTTGGGAGCTCTGGCACCGTTGAGCTGTCGTTCATTCCAGTCGATGTCGCCATTTCGTCGATCAACGACGGCACCCTTTGATCTCAGGCTGGACCTGATGGAGCGACCCTTCAGTCAGCCGGAGGTGAAATGTTTGACGTTGCAACTCTTGAAAGCGGAGCCTCGGCACAGTGCGTGAGGCATCGGCGATGTCAGGCGACAGTGTCCGGGACGGGACGGGAGGCGATTCTCACAGGATAGGAGGTAAATGGCGGCAGATGATGTGCACTCACTGGTTTAGCAAAGAAAGGTGTGCAGTAGACAACTACTCAATGCAAAGACCACTGAGATGACTTCGGATTTTTCTTGCCATCCGTTTCAACGGAGGTCGCCATTTGTTCATACTCTAAGGTGGAATGTCTCCACAAGGCGTCGGTGATCCATCGAGACATCAAGCTGTCAAACATGCTCTTGAACAACAAGGTGCCGAATCAGCCGATCTTTCCGTGTCGAGTCGGGGGAGGATGGGTAGGCGGCTAGTAGGTTGGTAGCTAGGTAGCTAGTACCTATATACAAGTAGCTACCGACAAGACGCAGGAGAGATACTACTTACTATACAATTGGTTCCTAGAGTTAGCGGGACACTTCTATAAAGACACATCGAGAAGTGTGGAAATGATCACTTATTCATGCGTTGTAGATTTCAGAATACCCTGAAGCGACCATGTCAACACCTTTGCATAATCCCTTGTACTTACTGTTTACTGGTATAGCCTTGAGAATTCTATACTGTTTGAGTCTGCCCTGGCAGACGGGGACCGCCGGTGGCCCTTGTTACTAGGAGAGAGGAGCTACTACTAGTAATGCCCTTTGCTCCTGGTAGCGTCCTTTGCTCCTAGTAGTAAGGCCAAGAGCCCGTAGTAGCGTCCTTGCTCCTAGTAGCGATGCCCTTTGCTACTAGTAACTTCTTGCTACTAGAAGTAAGGCCAGGATCCCCTAGTAGTGATGCCGTTGTTACTAGTGACGAAACCACCGGAGCTCAGGGTGTTTTGAAGTTGGCGGATTTCGGCCTGGCCCGCGAGTTTGTGGATGGTCAGTCACTCGAAGCGGAGATGGGGGGATGGAACCTGGCCAGGAAAAGTTGGTTTTAGGTTGTTAGGTGTAGTCTCAGGGCGGAAGAATCCACAGATATCCACAGATGCTTTTCTTGGCAAGATTCCACTGCCGCACACTGGTTTCAGTTGCTCTTGTTGCTGAGGTCTCCTATCACACAGAATGTGGTTACCTTGTGGTACCGTGCGCCTGAACTTCTTCTTGGCGCCAAGCGCTACACGATGGCGGTGGACATGTGGTCGGTCCTTTCGGCCAAATTAGTCATCGGCATGAGTTGAGGCATTCGGACATCGGATATGGTTGAACAAGTTGAGCGTCTACCGGGAGGTGGTGGAAATGCAAGTGTTAAGGGGACCTTGCCCTTGGCAGAGGCGCACAGTCGCGTGCTATGTGAAGCCCGTACGGGGTTGAGCTATGGGAGCTATGAGTGGCAACTGCGTATATGGGTCATGTCACCTCATGTCCAGCTTACATCAGCTGCTTGAATGAGCTGGCAACCTCAACCCATGCGATCCCATCTCAACCCAGCTGGCAACCGGGTTTTCCATCGGCGTTCCGATCCCAGGTGGGCTGCAACTTTGGGGAACTGCTTTTGAAGCGCCCGCTCTTGCCGGGGAAATGCGAGGCACCTGCAGCGACTTGTTTTCTGAGATGGATTTACATCCAACCTTTTGTGCAGCTAGGACATCCTGGACATTCAAACGAATGTGCAAATTGAATCGACCCTGAAGGGAGCTAGGATCGTCGTTTCATGTTGCAAAGCGTCTAATCCCCAGGATGGGATAGACTTGTAGCTTTCTCTTGTTGCAAAGCTCCGTTCGTAGCGTCCTTTGCTCCTAGTAGGGCCAGGAGCCCCTAGTAGCGATGCCCTTTGCTACTAGTAGCTTCTTGTTACTACTAGTAAGGCACTTGTTCCTAGTAGCGATGCCCTTTGCTACTAGTAGCGCTCCTAGTTGTGGCAGGAGCATCAACTTCAACTGACATGTGAGCTGCTGGGAACGCCATCGCCTCGCATTTGGCCTGGAGTTGAACGCTTCCCGCACCTCGGTCCGTGGTCGGTTTTACGCATGCACCGCATGAGGAAATAGAAGGCCAGTGTCAGGTGCATGAAACCAGAGGTGTTCCTTTCTAAACCAGGGCTTCCAGATTCCATGATGATGTTGAGGCACCTTCAATGGAGGTGAAACTGGAAACGCCATCTGAAGAGTCCATAAATAGGCTCCAACACTCCATAGCTGAAAACATGTTGAATCTAAGCCTTAGGCTCCTTTGACTATTCTAAGGTAGCCAGTCACACAACTCAAAGCAACAGAAGGCTTTGCAGGGTGTGAAGCCGTGGTCATTTGTGGTCTGTTTGGGTAAATCTTCCAACCACCCAAACCGCCAACATGACGTGTCAAGGCACTATGCAGTCTTCAAACTGCCGGAGAATGCCTTCAACAACTTGGGTCTGAAATTCCCAGACCTCCCGGACAGTTGCTGCTTGATGGGAAGGAGGAGCGTGCTATTATGCAGAAAGTGAGTACAGTATGTGGATTTGTGGGTTTGTGAGCCACAGACTTGGACTTTTTGTGTGCAGTTGCGAAGCTCCAGTGCTTTTGTGCATTTTGTTGGGTGATTTCATCCATGGCGTCGTCTCCCTCTCAAGGGGTCCCTCGACTGACTGGGAACGGTTCCTGCCACTGGTCCGTACTGACGGAGCTCGCGATGTTCATTTTCAGACACCAAGGTGGTCGACAAAACATACAACATGTTCCACCCTTCTTGAAACTGGCAATGGACAATTTGGAAGATCATGTTCCTTTGCCCGTGAACTTAGTCATGTTAGTTTTGGGGGTACCAAAGGCAGTTGCTCTCTTTCTCTGTCAGGATCCACTCGCTGTAGACGCACTCGTTTTGAGAAGGGAGTGATTTGTGTTTGATAGTAGCGTCCTTGCTACTAGTAGCGATGGCCTCCACCCTAGTAGCGTTCTTGCTACTAGTATTTGTGTTTGCCATTTCCTTATTGCTGTTATGAGATCAAACCCTTTATGATGATGATGATGATCATCATCATCATCATCATAATCATCTACAGTTGGTGTGAATGGTGTGCACTAGATTCAGCTTGGGATGTCCACTGGGTAGCTCACTAACTTGGGCAATTCTAAGGATTTTGAGCATGTGTTCCGAACCAATCAGAGTTTCTTGATATGCAATCATCGGTTTGTCCGGTCTACAAGCGGTTTGATACGGATGCAAAGAACGTTGAAAGTCATTTCTATCTGCAGTACAGCAGTCATTCACCTCTCTACCACCCTCCGACACACCTCTTACGAATAAATGCAAGGACGCTACTAGGGGCTCCTGGCATCTCCTGGCATCGCTACTAGTAACAAAGGGCATAAGGCGAACGCCTCCCTCTTCTCTTTGTTCTTTCCGAGGACCTATCCGAGGACCTAGCCTCTTTCGGACTGAACGCCAGGTTTGTGTGCTAAAACGGGTGTTCATAGGGTAGCCCAGTACCAATTGGTTGAGTCAACAATATGACATAGTACGACATATGTGGATCTCTAGGGTTTGAGCATCACAACGGACCAAAGCCCAGTCCTCCCTGTCATCCTGGGCCCAGATCGCGTTTGATTCTTTCCAGGTTTGGATCTCTTGAACCGACTCTTGACCTTCGATCCCGAAAAGCGGGCCTCGGCCAGCAGCGGCCTGCAGCATCAGTGGTTTGTGGAACCACCTGCGCCGCAGGACAGACTCATAGTTCTTGAGCCCTAGTGTTGGAAGCCCTACAGTAGACGGTCGTCGACGGAAGTGTTGGTTCATCATCCCTTTGGTACCCCCAGTTCACATGCGTTCGACAGTGGCCTGAAGCAAGCTGAAGAGTCATTGACATGATCCTAGACAACTTGGCAGCCAGAAAAAGCATCTCTTGGCAAGAGCGCTCAGAGACCATGTTGAGGCCTTGACTCAATGGATTGTGACTTGTACCTGACCAGCTACCTCTCACGAAGATAATGCGCAAAGAAGCCAACAAGGTTACGGATACATAAAGGTGATGGTTGCCAGGATAAAGACGTTGATACAAGTACAGGTTGAAGGCCATCGCTATAAGGTTGGAGGCCATCGCTAGTAAGTGTAAGTAGATCGGAGGCCATCACTATTAGGTTGGAGGCCATCGCTAATACTGTAGGTTGGAGGCCATTGCTATAAGGTTGAAGGCCATCGCTAGTAGGTTTGAGGCCATCGCTAGTAGATTGGAGGCCATCGCTATAAGGATGGAGGCCATCGCTAGTAGGTTGGAGGCCATCGCTATAAGAATGGAGGCCATCGCTAGTGGGTTGGAGGCCATCGCTAGTAGGTTGGAGGCCATCACTTCTAGGTTTGAGGCCATCGCTAGTGGGTTGGAGGCCATCGCTAGTGGGCTGGAGGCCATCGCTAGTAGGTTGGAGGCCATCGCTAGTGGGTTATCGCTATTAGGTTGGAGGCCATCGCTATTAGGTTGCTAGTGAATCCAACAAACCCCAAAGATTGGACTGCGAGTTTGTCTCCTTTGCAGGAGCCACACTACATGCCAACCTTCCGAGAGCACCGCAATGAGACCGCGAACCCCCGTGGCCTGCCGGCGCCAAAGGCAGCGTCGACGGTCAAACGGCCGGTGGCGGCACGGTCGGCGGTCTTCCAAGCAGCGAAGAAGCTGAAGTCCTGCGTTTTCTGAAGCAAAATGACGACCCGTCTTCAATTCTGCGTCGATCATGACCAAGGTTCGCGGAGGTGTTTTGTGACTGACATGATCAAGACATGGTTCTTGTCACGGTTGCCAAGACAAAAGGAGCGTCGCCAAGAGGGCAACTATGGCCAATCCGCTTGTATTCCCGGATTGGAACATGAGCAAAACGCCAATGCAATGAATGAAATTGATGGCCGGCGATTCTGCTTGGAACCAGAAGTTCTGCAGCGTGTTTCTCCACACGATGGACGGTCTAGATGGTTTCTTCGAGGAACTGCTTGGTTGAACGAATATCTGATCGCTCTATATAAGTGCGCAGATTTAGCAACGCCACGCACATTGAACAGCGCTTGGACACATATCGACAACCATTACGCAGTCTTTGTTCTAAGCAAGGTGCACAATACGAATGGGTGAGTTTGAGTTCTTTTTTTGATGTGTGTTGTAGAGTTGTTCCTTTCATCCTGATGAATTATCATCACTCCACTGTGGAGGCAAATGTAGTGCTGATTATTGCGCTTGATTCATGCAGACTGAAAGAACCAAGAAACTAAGTCCACGTCCTCACTAAACTTCACTGAGTTATTTACGGGATCTATGGTCATCAAGCCAGGCACCTTCTTGGCTCAAAGGGAGTAGTCTGTGCTGAGGTCGTCTCTCATTCGAGGCGGGCTTTGTCGCAGTCGGTGGGTCGCCGATGGGTGTGGCACCTTGCGCAGGTGGAGCGAAGAAGCCCATGGGGGGACAAGCCTCGCAGCCCGTCCAGAAGGCGAGAAAACCGGCGCGGAGTAGCCTGTGTGGGCAGAGGTGTCTTGGAGACACCGCCATGTGCTTGGACACGGGCATAGGGCTCTCATTCAGCGGCTCTCCAAGAATCTAACTTCGGGTAATCACTGTCTACTGATTCTGATCCCAGCAGGAGACTTAGGATCACCGCTTCCGTGGGAAGCCATTGCATTGAGCTAGGTGACCGGCAGTGTTCTGAGAAAAGCCGGAGAGCCATTGAATACTTTGGGCTATCAGGCTGGCTGGGCGCCGCTGTTGTCACGCCCAAAAGTGTTTTGAAGTGATGACATTGAAGACTATTCGGACGAAATCTTCGATCTTTCGTCAAACGTTGGATTTTCTCTTGACTCAATCCTTGTTCTTTCGGACATCCAGAAGGTCCTAAAAACCTAGAAACCAAACATTAGTGCGAGCTATCCTACGTCCATACTAGTAGCTACCTAGCTACTACTAGCAACCGTACATCCCGTACTTAATTAAGTAGGTAGTCTCTGCTTAATTAAGTAGGGAGGAGGGGCAGCGGGCCAAAAGAAAAAAGGAAAGCTGTACAAACCTTGAGGGAAGAGTCTCTACGGATTGTCCACTCCCATCAGATGCGATGAACGGTGTGGTGCAACACGTGCAATTCAAGCCGGCGAGGTAGTGCATGAGAAGACCGTGTTTCCAACGGGCACAAAACCTGCCCGGGCCAGAGATCTTGAGGTGCAGCGGCGTTTTCAACTTGTTTTTAATTGTCAGCAGATCATGGTTGTTTCCATAAGTTGTATACTCCAACTGATATCCAGTTAGGTAGTCCCAAACCTTGCGATCACATCCACAAAATGCTCGTACATAGTCGGAGAAGATTGCAAATGTAAGAACTACAAAGCGATTGGGCTGGCCAATTCACAGCGAGGTTCGGGTCACTGTCTGCCGCTGTTGGCAATCGCTTCGCTTCCCTTTGTGTGACAACACGTCTCGCGGCTCAGTGGGGTTATCTCGAGAGTGAGTGGTGCGTAGAGTGGCCGAGCCAACCCCAGACACATCCCATGGACCATCAGGCAGAATACAGGACCATATTGCCCCATCCCCTAATTTTCGATGGATCCAGAGAGTCCACAGCTGACTCTTGGGATCGTCCAACTCCTACTCTCGGTACGTTCTCTTGGTACTCTCTCTCTGGGGGATGGTCAAACTGGGACGACAGATGGAGATCTGCGTCTTCAGATGCTCTGGACAAAACGCTGATTGACTTCAACAAATCCACCGGCTCCACCAAGCGCTCATTGACTTCAATCCAGATTGAAGTTCGGCGGTTTTTTCCCTCGCGTTGACCACGAAGTGTATCACTATGTTGCTGGTAGGATTTTCAGCTGGATTTTCTCGAGTTATTGGAGTGTGGGCCCACGTCAAGGCTCTCTCTGGCCAAATCGAATGCACTTGTATCACAGCACATCTCCCTGCGAGAAGTCCTGCCGTTGACGCTCGGAACTTGTCAAGCTGTAAGCCTTGATTGCTAGACGCATGAGTGAGACATATTCGAAGCACAGAATTGCGAAGGTCTTTGCTTCACTCCTGTGCCAACACTGACCATCACAGTGAACTGTACGAAGATGCCACACAAGCGGAGATCCTGTTCCGGCGGATCTTAGGAGGTCTAGACCCCAAGCACCACAAATCCCTTTGTTGGAAAGCCTATGTCAAGACACACAACGAGAGCTATATAGACAGCAGTTCCAAAAGGACGTCCGATGTCGGAGCCACTGCCCGTCATCACCGGCCAGGCTGTCAGGAATTTTGCTTTTCACACATGTCAGTGCTACACGAGTGCAGAGGGTTTGAGGAGAAGTTCTCTATAGTTTACATATTAGTTTACATATATATATATATACATAACTATATATATATAGTTCTCTTGAGTTTCAACTCATGGTGTCCTGGCCAGAACAACGAAGAAGACTTTCCATGCAGCGTTGCCTGGACCTGAGAACTTCCTCGAGTGGACCATATTGGACCTCGACAGAGTTACTTGAGTTATTACTTGGACACGGCGGTTCAAAGTTTTTGTTCCTCCACTGAGACGGCAGTGCACATGTTTGTAAGCTGAATCGGAGCATTTTGGACGGAATGTGCAGATCCCAAGCCCTTTCAGACAGTGATGTGTTTGTTCCTAGTAGCGTCCTTGCTCCTAGTAGCGATGCCAGGAGCCCCTAGTAGCTTCGTGTTACTAGGTGTTTGTTCTTTTTTTGTTCACACGGCTTTCATCGCGGTTTCTCCGAGCAGGTCTGGGCACCGATCCCGTTGGTGTCCCATATCTTCCCCATCATCGGGCGAGCCGATCAGGGAGGGGGAGAGACATGGAGAGACTGGCGGAGCCGATGTTCCTTTTCTCAGCCCCTTTTCTGGCGTAGAAGATCGCTGGATTTTGCCCACATGGATGCATGTGCTGTAGCATGACCTAACAAAAAGTGCTAATCCAAGTCCTCAAAGTCTGTTGCTGCTTAGTCACTTGCTAGCATCCCTTAAACAATACCGTTCAAACAGCTTCAACACCGCTTGGTTGTTTGTTATTCCTATGAGCCGAATGCCCACAATATCCCACAATCAAAAGAGACCTTGAAATAGATAGACAGAAAAGTGAGTCCTTTAAACGTTTTGGACCGATGATGACCTTGAAGCAGCAAGATGGCCTAGACTGCAACTGTTAGAGGACACTATTTTTCCTGAACCAACTAGTTTTCCATTATATAATGGAGCTTCTAATCATCCAACGGAGCAAATTGCAGAACATGTAAAACAAGATGGATCTATGATCTGTTCTTCTGCTGCCAGTGCATCGGGGAACCCTCCAGAAAAGCTCTCGCAGGCACACGATGATTACCGACTCCAAGGTGCGAGAGTCGACACGCCGAAGCTGAAGAAAGGGAACTTTTGAGGTCGACTTGCATTTGGTGCGAAATAAAATACGGAGAAACAGGATGTTGTTTAGTTTCTATTTATATCTATTTATATATGCTACATGTATATTTTTTGTCAATAGGGATGGGGTCCCAGTATAGTCGCTATACAGGTACATGCCATATACTTTTGGCTCAAGTGCCCAACCAGGTAAAAAGGAGCTTTAGCGCGCGAGCTTCATGTTGACCTAAGAGCTAGAACGGGGCCAGGGCACACCTTTCCATCCGTTCGCAGGTTATCAGCCGTATCCAGACTCCTTTGAGCTGGGTACGAGCTGCGGCCTTACACAACACCATCTAAACGCACACGCATCGGATAGATCAGTTACCCTCAGTCGCTGAAGACGGACCAATCCGACGCCAGCACTGCATCTTTTGGAGCAGCTGCTGCGGCCGCAGATCGGATGAGTGCATCCCACAACTCTAGTCCAGGTACGATCGAAGTGGAGACTCTGACAGCGGTGAGAGAAGATGCGACAGGTAGAGCACGAAGTCGTTCCCCGTCAGCGCACTCGACACCACCGTGGGGGACACCGAGATCAGGCCGTAGCCCTAGGGAGACAAGGAGGAGGACTGACACCGGAGCTGTGAGAGTGTTAGCATTGCAGGATGGGTCAGCTGTACCAGTGCCGTCGGACAGCGAAGCTGGAGATCGAGCAAGGGCAAGCACTGACAACCTACAACTAGCACGGGCCGATGGAGACCTGAATGCGAAGTGTGCGCAACTACTTGCCGAAGTGCATATGTTGAACCACCAAAACGCATGGATGGTCGAATGTGAGCAGAGACAGAACCAGATTATACAACACGAGACCGAAGTCCACGAAGTAGTGATGGCACACCTCGAGGAATGTTATGTCGAAGGATATGGAAATCAACGAAGAATCTCCCAACTTACAGAATCCAGAGACTGTTTGCTCTCAGCAGCACACGACCTGCAATACCAGATGGACACTGATCGTGTGGCAATGCGGGATCGTCTCACCCAGTTAGGGGAGTACGCTGATCGCAACAGCGCAGAGATGGTTAGTCAAGTTGTGAACATCGGCACGGAAGAGATCCAGGCTATATCGGCGGAAAGAGATCGAGCCGTAACCGAGATCATGACTACAATCGCAGATGCTGAGAACGTCAAGGATCTGTGTAGACAGGAGTTAGTTGGACTACAAAGGCAGAGTGCCAGAAACAAACACGAATATGCTGAAGAGATGAAGATGAGGGAAGCAATGTATGCAAACAAGATCAAATGGTTATCAGAAGAGAATGAGGAGCTCAACAACCGATCTAATACTCAGGACAAGTTCATCTTGAGCATCAG